TCGCTAACTAGATTGAGATATCCCATTTGTTATCTGCAGATGATACCTTGGTTTTTTGTGATGCTGATGTTTCCCAACTCAGGTATTTGAGGTGCATTCTTACATGCTTCCAAGCAGTGTCCGGTTTAAGATTAATGTTGAAAAGAGTGTGGTTGTCCCAGTGGGGGATGTCTCTGATATTTCCTCCTTAGCTGCTGTTCTTGGGTGTGGAGTGGGTGCTTTTCCACTCCCTTATCCGGGATTACCTTTGGGAATCTCCTCCAGGAGAGTGGGGACTTGGGATTTGGTGATTAACAGGTATGAAAAAAGATTGGCGGGGTGGAAAAACCAGTATCTTTCGAAAGCGGGGAAGGTCACTCTTATTAAGAGCACCCTCTCGTCCCTTCCCACATATTTCTTATCCCTGTTTCAAATCCCGTGCTCTGTTGCTGAACGGATCGAAAAAATTCAGAGGGATTTTCTTTGGGGTGGAAAAGGAGGGGAGTTTAAGTATCATCTTGTTAATTGGGAGCAGGTTTGCAAACCTTTTAAGTTTGGCGGTCTAGGTATTCGGAAGCTGGTCCCTTTTAATACAGCCTTATTGGGGAAGTGGTTATGGAGGTTCGGTAAAGAGCGTCATCGACAATGGAGAAGAGTTATCTCGTGTCGTTTTGGGGAGAAGAGTGGAGGTTGGTCCTCTCTTCCTGTTTCTATTACCGGAGGCGTTGGCGTTTGGAAATTCATTCGGAAAGGTTGGGATGTGTTTTCCACCCATATTCGGTTCAAGGTTTGTAATGGTATGAAGACCTATAGTGTGGTGATCAGTTGTTGTCTCTTTCCTTTCCTCATCTTTATTGCATCGCCCAGAATAAGCATGCTTACGTAATTGACTGTTATCATCTTGATAACAGTGGAGTTACGTGGGATGTGGGTTTTAGGCGTTTTTTTTTTCAGGATTGGAGACCTGTTGTATAGACAGAAGGATGTTGGCAGAGGTTGTGATGACATTTTGTGGACCCCTTCTCTTCATGGTAGATATGAAGTTTGATCCATGTTCTTGTGTTTGTCTAATTTTATTGGTCATAATTTCCCATGAAAGTGTATTTGGCGTTCTAAAGCTCCTCTTAGAGTTGCCTTCTTTGTTTCGACTGCTACTTGGGGAAAAATTCTAACATTGGATAATCTGCGTAAGAGAGGTAATACCATTGTTAACTAGTGCTGTCTCTGTAAAACTGATGGCGAGTCTGTGGATCATCTTCTTCTGCATTGTCCTGTTGCATCTGATTGTTGGAATCTCATATTCATTATTTTTGGTGTTCAGTGGGTAATGCCTAAGCACTCTTTCCAATCAATCGACGCTTGGAGAAGATGCCTTGTGGTCATGCTTATGATTTTTGGAAGGTCGCCCCACACTGTGTTTGGTGGTGTATTTGGAAAGAGAAATAACAGAAATTTTGAAGGGAAGGAATCGTCTTTTGCAAACCTTGAGTCTCTTATTCTTCGCTCTCTTTTTTGTTATGTTAGAGGCAGTGCTTGCTCATCGATTGATGATTTTTTAGTTCTATTGGACTCTGTTGGTCCGTAGGTTTGGCTTTTGTTCTCTCGTTTTTGTGTATTAGGGACGTGTTCCCCTTTTGAACGTTTTTCTAATATATTTTTTACTTATCAAAAAAAAAAAATAGTGCTTTGCAGTTTGACTATTCTGTAAGTGGACACTATCATATTGTCCTGTTAAACCTGAAAAGCATTATAATAACATTGTTAAAATGTGCAATAAACATAACCAATAAAAGGTTGGGTTGACAAATCTCCCTTTAGGTTCTTTATAACACTAGATTGGCTGATCCTTCCCATATAATGTTTCTGAACATTGTGGTTAAATGTTCCTATTAAAGGAAAAGCATAATTTTTCTTTTTCTATTTTGCTACCCAAAAAATGAATGACTTGATCTAGGACTTATTTTATCTGCTTTTGATCCGTGTTAAGCCCCAAAGAGCTGATTATCGCTCCAGGACTTGTTATAGTCACAGAGTTATGCCTGCAAACGTCCTAGTTTGCTTTGGTGTCATTCACATTCATACATCTATAATCTATTGAGGATTTGTTTAGTCTATCAGCCTGCCCCCTTTTTTGTTTTCCTGAATTACTACTACTTCTTGGAATCTTTTTCAGAGAGAGAGAGTCTAGTAAGCTGCACTTATGTCATATTTCCACCCTCTAGTGCCTATATAATACATTTCTGGTGTGCTCACTACGCCAACAATGATAGGTTTTGCATTAATTTTACCATTGTCTCATCTGGAGAAACCTATTTTCTTTGGAAATTCTTTACAATGGAGATTTTGTTTTATGTGTGATATATATATATATATATATTTAGTAATAATTGGTAAAGTTTGCATAAAACCCATTTCTTCTTTCTGTAGTCTCCAAGCCAGTTGTGTTTACTAATAATTTTGCAGAACCATCTTCATCCTTTCTTGTTTCTTCTACCACTTATGATTCACTAGTTTGTCTTATTATATCTAATCTTTCAAATCTGATTACTTGTGCAGGCTCTTTTAAGGTGTTAATGTTGGCTTCTGCATTTTTATGCTTTGTTAGTTTTTTCTCATATTCTTTTGCATTACCGGATCGCATGCCAAGTCCCTTGCATTTGTATAAGGGAAATTATCTAATTAAGTTCGTTCTGAGCTAGAACTTGACTACTTAAGGATTTCATATCTACTACTTTGTTGGATTTGTTTAGAAACAACTATAAGGAAAGAAAATAATTTCTGGCGGCTGCTACAATACTTTTGCGCTGTCTAGTTGGAGTACATTTAAAATGGATTTATATTTTTCAAATTTTGTGATTTATAGTCAAAGAATTTTGATTACACTAGTTCCATCTTTCCAATGAACTACAAGGTTAGCTTTTTCCAAATTACACTATTTTGAATTGTAGTTGAATCAACTTTATGGAAGATTGAATTTATGAAAGACAAGTATCCCATTCTTCTTGATAGAACTTCAAAGGCAAACATATAATGCTCAGGATTGTAAATTCTTAGGAAAACTTATTTTGCAAACTGTCAAATAAACCTTTTCCACTTATGCATGTGTGACCGTCTAAATATTCTAAGCTACTCTCGTGCATGCCAAACTTATTGCAAGTCACCATCTTTAGATTTGATCCCAAATGCACCATTAGTGGATATGGGGAGAAATTGTAAATCCATAGAGGAGTTTTTTGATCTTTCGGGTTCTTTGAGGGTTTAGAGGCCCTCTGGTTTTTTGGAGCTCTTTTGGGATCCGTTCCCCTTTTGAACGCTCTTTAATACATTCTTACTTATCCAAAAAAAAAAAAAAAAAAAAAAAAAAATTGTCTTGACTATAAATTTCCTAGGTTAAATTTTGTTTATCTATTTTTTGTTGCTTTTGTTGGTTGTACAAAGTCACTAAAGCTTTAAGCTTTCCTAGAGCTTCTGGCCAGGGGTGAGACAGTGTAAGGTTCGAGCTTGAGTGAAGTAATGAAGATATGTGATAGGAATTTATATTTGTTATACTTACAGGTGAAATAAAATATGCAACAATCTAGTCAAAGATCGAAAACCAAATTTTTTTGGACTACCGAACGAAGGGTTTGCTTGATTAATGTTCATTTTTTCATTTGCATATGCATCCAGCTAAATCAAATACCCTGCAAATGTGCTCTAATAAAAGGCTACAATCATATATTTAAACATATGATATATTATCGTAATATTTAAAATCAAGTACAAGACACATGTAATTCTAGTAGTCAAACATATACCTTTTGATTTTGAATATCCAATATCTGACGTGCTTCAAAAATATGATCTGCTGCATAAGACTAGATATGGTAGGAGCACCATCTACATGGATTTGGAAGTCAATTGTGAGTTTACGAGCTTGATGAATCTGGAGCGCATCCAGAATAATATAATCAGTAAACGTCCCTGAAGATCTGATTCCAAGAATCTGAGAACAGCCTTTCAGCCTGAGGCTTGATGAACCTAGGTCTTTCCCAGGACTAGGTGTGCTATAAACTTAGAAGCCTTCAATTTTGTTGCCTTTTAGAAGCATCAGTAGAATTGACTAGAGGAGTAGCTCAGTAACTAGAAGTGTTGCAGCAAAACTGGGTAAACTTCATTTTTCACCATTTTGGAATGATGGACTACGTCGGAAAAAAGTCAATTATGCCTTCAAAGCAAATGGAATGAAATGACCTTGCGCGAAAGGAAGCAAATGTGATATTACTTTAGTATTTGTTATGTTTCCTGCAATTAACTTTTATCTCAGATATCCTTACACACGAGTAAGACCTTTCCTGAATCTAGTGTCGATGTTCCTATTGGTGGATTTAATCTGAATTCCTTAACGTCTTGCAGTTTCAATATTTTCTCATCTTTAGCTGATTGTATTTACAATTATCCATGAGTGTTATAAGATTTTAAAGTTGGCGGTATATTCCCATTGCCTGCTCCTGAATGACAGCATAGGACCGTAGGTGCAACTTTAACAATACTGCATAGGCTCTTTTGTTTGTTTTGTTAAGGGTTCGCTCCCCTTTGAGTGCTTTTGTTTATATATTTACTTAATAAAAAAAAAAAAAAAAAAAAAAAAAAAAAAAACAATACTCTATAGGCTGTACATTCAAGATATTATCACTATGATTTTGTATACCTGAGAAAAATGCCGAGATAACTTTTTGGAGAATAATGGCCTGCTTGGTTCAGTTTTCTGTTTTCTGTTTTCTAAGAACTGAAAATCAGAAAACTGTACGAAAACCTGTTTCTTCGTCTTAGTTTTCTGAAAACTCAGTTAAAGGATGTATGTTTTCAGAGAACTGTCTTTATGGTTCACTGAAAACAGTTTTCTGATTTCTGAGTTCTGAGAACTGTTTTCTAATTGACAAACCAAGCAGGACCGGAGATTCCCTTTATTTTCAGTTCCTTTACTGTGGTGATTGCTTATGGGCAACGGAACTTAGGCTTGGGCTATCCTATATTTGCAGGGTCTGGCAATGGTGATGCACAAAAACCATGAAGGTCCAGCTGTTTTTGAGATGCTGAACAAGGCTCTGGATGTTGCTCGTCAAGAAAAAAGAGTTACTGAGGAGAGAAGCATTAAAATTTTAATTGCGCAAATGCATGTCATGAAGGTGATTGCCTGGAACATACTTCTTCTTGGCTTTCAAACTAAAGGATCTGTCTATTCAATTTGGTATTGGAATGTCTAATGGAAATTAAATTATTTCACCATGCTTATACTGTGTTGGAAGGCACAAATTCATCTTTTTAGTTCAGAAACATTGCAAGATAATCCCGGTGCCATTTCAAGGAGTAAGAATGACAAAGGGTTGAATTTAATTGTGTGGATTGGCAGGAATATGCTCATGATCCAGATGATCCTTATTTATTTCTCATTTTTGGCTTACATTAATTGTGTGCATTGCAGGGGGAGTTGGAGGAGGGCTTGGAAAATTTTAAAGATCTGGTTAATGAGAACCCAAGGGATTTCCGGCCTTACCTTTGCCAGGTAAATTTGATGACAATATTTTTTCTTATTATTGCTATTTTATATGAATATACCTGATAATTTAATTTTTCCTTCTATCTGGAAGTTTATATGTCATTGGTAGTCTCATGAAGTTGTATAAGTATGCTAATGTTTTAAAGGTATCATCAGAACACCATGGAGTGAACAGAGGCAACTGAAAGTTGCATCAAATTTTCAAGTTTCAGTCGTATGTTGGAGTAAGATAATTAAGAATTGACATTATACGCATTCAGACATTACTTTTTCCCATTATTTCCTCCATAGCTGTCCTATTACCTTATCAGACCTATTATTGGATGTTATCAGACTACTTCAGTTGATCACTTGTTCAGATGCTGGGAGCTGGGTCTCAAAGTTGAATTAGAATAAAGTTAATAAAATATGATGAAAATGTATAGGATTTAATACAAGTGGGGATAATAGGATAGGGCAATGTCAGGTTTGGTTTTGAAGAAGATCAAGGTATTTAGTAAATGAAAAACCATACTAAATACCTTGATGGAGAGGGGTAGCAGGAAACGGACAATGAGCAAGGAGAAGAGGCTGACTCTGTGAAGAGGGTGTAGGGAGATTCGCAGCTTGTTCTCCGGTGTGAATTATGAGGGGACTAACGGGTCTGGGAGGCAGAGGAGTCAGGAGAGGGGTAGAGGGAGAAGGAAAGGGGAAGGGTTATCCATCTGTTCTTGATGAAGTGCCGAATTATGTTGTGGAATGTCCGAGGACTCAATAACCCGGACAAAAGAAAAGTGGTGAAGATGGCTGTGAAGAAGTGGGGTGTGCATGTGGTTTGCTTGCAGGAGACAAAGATGGCTGCCATGTTTGATAGGGTGGTTAGAAGCTTTTGGGGGGGAAGGTTTATTGAATGGGTGGCTTTAGATGATTTGGGGACGTCTGGGGGTATCTTATTGATGTGGGATAGGAGATGGGTTTCGAAGACGGATGTGTGGAGAGGGAGATTTTCCATTTCGTGTGCCTTTTCCATGGAGGAGGATGGTTTTGGTTAGGTTTTTTCCGGTGTTTATGGCCCAGTTGAGGATGGAGAGGCACATATTGTGGGAGGAGTTGGGGGCAGTGAAGGATAAATGGGGTCTTCTGTAAGGGGTGGGTGGGTGGGTTGGGCGCGTGTGCTGGGGGGGGGGGGGGGGGGAGATCAACAAGAGGAAGGAGGACATTGGCAATGGAGCAGTTCTCAGAGTTCATTGATGGTTATCCTTTGCACAATTTACCACTGGAGGGGGCTATTTTTACATGGGGGAGTGGTAGAGAGGCTCCTACATTTTCACGATTGGATCATTTTCTTATCTTTGGAGACTGGGAGGAAAAGTTTCCTGATGTGGTCCAGGTAGCTTTGGCTAGACCAACTTCCGACCATATTCTTGTGATTTTAGACTGTGGTGGCTTGAGAATGAGGAGTACTCCTTTTCGCTTTGAGAACATGTGGTTATGGGCAGAGGATTTCCAGGGGTGTGTGAGGGCTTGGTGGGAGGGGATTAGGGTGGATGGTAACCCGAGCTTCATTCTTGTGAAAAAGCTTAAGGGGCTGAAACATGAGATCAAAAGGTGGAATAAGGAGGTGTTTGGGAACCTCAAGTGGAGGAAGAATAGGGCTTTCGCGAAGATTGCCGAGATTGATAGGTGGGAAGGAATGGGTGGTATTGATGAGAGTCAGAAAAGTAGGAGGGATGCGTGCTAGATAGAGCTTGCAGTGTTGGAAGAAATTTCTTGGAGGCAGAAATCTAAAGCCTTATGGCTTAAAGAGGGTGACAAGAATACTAAATTTTTCCATCGGTTGGCCAACGCTTATGGAGAGGCAATCACATTGGGATGATTACTATTGATGGGGAGGTTCTGGTCGGGGAGGAGGATGTTTGCAGAGGGATTGTCTATTTTTATCTAGGTTTGTTTACGGAGCCTTATGCTTGGAGACCCCAGCTGGATGGGCTTCACTTTAATTCCATTTCTGAGCTTTGTAGAGTTGGGATGGAGATTCCGTTCTCTGAAGAGGAAGTGCTGAAGGCACTTAAGAGTTGTAACGGGGACAAAGCTCCGGGTCCGGATGGATTTACTATGAGGTTTCTTTTGGAGAGTTGGGGTGTGGTCAGGGGAGAGGTGATGGATACGTTTCATGCTTTCCATTCTCAGGGGAGGTTTGAGAGTTCCTTGAATGCATCGTTTATTGCACTTATTCCAAAGAAGGGGGGAGCTTCGGATGTGAACGACTTTAGACCTATTAGTTTGTTGGGATGCATTTACAAACTAATAGCTAAAGTTCTAGCAGACTGAGTGATGTTCTGGATGATATCATTTCGGAGTCTCAGAATGCCTTTATTGGTGGGCGTCAGATTCTTGACTCAACTTTTATTGCCAGCGAATGTGTGGACACGAGGCTGAGGAGTGGTCTCCCAGGGGTTCTTTGCAAGCTTGATGTTGAGCAAGCCTATGATCATGTGAGTTGGAAGTTCCTGTTGTATTTGATGGAGAGAATGGGGTTTGGGGATAAATGGAGGTCTTGGATTGAAGCCTGCATTTCTTTAGCTAGATTTTCGGTGATGGTTAATGGGTCTCCGACCGGTTTTTTTGGTAGCTCGTGAGGTTTGTCCCAGGGGGATCCCTTGTCTCCTTTCCTATTCATTATTGTTATGGAGTCCTTGAGTAGGTTGATGGGGAGGGTGGTGGAGTTGGGTTTTATAAAGGGGTTCATGGTGGGTGGGGTTGCTGCTCATCACTTGGAGATATCTCACTTATTGTTTGCGGATGATACTTTGGTGTTCTGTGAGGCGGAGGTGTCACAGATGAGGTACTTGAGGTCGGTGTTGGTTTGTTTTCAAGCGGTTTCAGGCTTGAAAGTGAATGTAGGCAAGAGTGATTTGATTCCAGTGGGGGAGGTGCATAATATAGGTGAGTTAGCCTCTGTTCTTGGATGTGGAATTAGTAGTTTTCCAATTACATACTTGGGGTTACCTTTGGGAGTTTCTTTGAGGACTGTGGGTGTTTGGGATCCGGTGGTTGAGAGGAGACTGGCAGGGTGGAAGAAGCAGTACTTATCGAAAGGTGGGAAGGTCACTCTTTTGAAAAGTACGCTTTCAAGTTACTTATAAAAAAAAAAGTACGTTTTCAAGTCTTCCTACATATTTTCTACCCCTCTTCCAGATTCCATCCGTGGTTGCTGCTTCAATTGAGAGGCTTCAGTGGAACTTTCTCTGGGGTGGTTTACAAGGCAAATTAAGTATCACCTTGTCTGTTGGGAGCAGGTCTGTAGGCCGCTTCAGGCTAGAGGATTAGGGATAAGGAGCTGGTGCCATTTAACTGGGCTCTCCTTGGTAACTGGTTGTGGAGGTTTGGAGTGGAATGCCATAGGTTGTGGTCCGTGGACGAGGGTTATTTTGTGCCGGTTCGGGGAAGAGACGGGGGAGTGGTGTTCGTGTTTGGTGAGGATTCCTGGTGGTGTTGGCGTTTGGAAATCCATTAGAAAAGGATGGATGCTTTGTGGGAGGTCATGCTCATGGGTTTTGGAGGATGGCGTTATTGTGCTTATGGTGGTGTTTGTGGAGGGAGCGGAATCATAGATCTTTTGAAGGAGAGGAATCCTCGATTGTTGTTCTTAAGTCAACTTTGATTACATCTTTATGCTTTTGGGGTTCGCATTGTTCCTCCCCGGAGGAGACATCTGAATTTATTTCTTCCTTGGGTCCATAGGATTCTTTTGTTGCTTATGGGACGTGTTCCCCTTTTGAACGCCTAAAAAAAAAAAAAAAATACTTAGTAAATTTCTTCAAGTTCCAGTTGAGATATTTAAAGATTTGTCCATGCTACTTTTTGAAGATATTATTAAAGACGAGATTGTTAAGTGAGAAGTTGATGAAGAGGAGAGGTGGTTGGATGCCTCGAGGTCTCAGCAATCTAAAGAAGTTGGTTTGTTCGATTAACTATGAAGTAGGGGAGGTTGATGGGTAAGGGAATAGTGAGGGGTAGACAGGAAAATTTGTACTTGACTTGCCACGAGTATTATAATTGTACCTTGGTATGTTAGGGTTAGTTGAATGACTTGGAGAAAAAGATGGTAGTTAAGTCAATGTTACGAAGGTGGCGAATGGATGTGGTAATCTTCGAGAGGCCAAAATCATAGACATCACAATGGAATTTGTGAGATAAATAAGGGAGGGGGATTAGTGGTGTGGGATTCATGTGGCCTGATGGAATTACTTTGTGTTGGGTGGGGTGAGGGGTTACATGGAATGAGTGGGTTGTGAAGAAGGTGGAGATGTGGGTTCTTTCCTGATATCATGCTTATTTCGATGTGACGAGATGGTTTTACTTTGAAGTAATTTAGGTCATATGGCTAACGATAGGTGGGTGGTGTATGATGCTTATTTGGATGTGAGGAGGATGATTTGAGACAGTTGTTTTCTTGGGTATATGAGCCTTGCACCTTAGGTGGTGCAATAGGGAGTTCTTTAATCAGCGATTCGTGGTAGATGGTATGCTCCTTGGTATGGAAGACCTTATTGTTGTTCTCCCATGTGAAAGATTCGGGTATTTGAGATCATCATCAGTGACGACAGGATTTTCATCCAATGGATCTCTCATTGGAGGGGGAATGTTAAGTTGGTGCAACAATTATGAGCTGGCTTCTGTATTGTGATTGGATAGATACTTTATTTTCTCCTTCGGTTGACCGTTTTGCTGATGCATTGCTACGTACTTTGCCTAGACCACTTTTGGATAATGACCCTATATATATTTTTTGAAAATACAAGGTGCTCTCGGCTGGGTTTGAGACGTTAGGATTTTTTGTATAGGCTTTAGGGCTTAAAAAATTAGGGTTCCAAGTGTTTAAAATACAAAAAGTAAACTGCTGCCCGCGAGGTTTGATTGATCCAACTATCAGGGAAACTTCAATACCAACCTATTCGACTGATCAAAAGCCCTGCTATTGGCCTTCTTAGCAGCGGATTACTCCTTTGTTCACTTCCGCTGTAAAGATTCTGGTCGATCGATTGACTGAACCAAAACAATGGCCAACCAATAGGTTGATCAATTGAATGCCCTGTTTTCATGAATCTTTAGGTTTTTCAATCCAAAACAAAGTTTTTATGCATTTAAAGTGTTGTAAAGCATTAAACGGAAGTGAAGAGACAAATAAAACAAGTAGAACACATAGATATTATATGATTCAGCCGCTAGGGCCTACATCCACGAGCACAAAGAGCTCAAAGGGCTACATCACTTTTATAATACTCTCTCAATTCATATACAATACAATGGTGGAGGCTCCTTTATATAGGAGAAGAAATTATGAGAACGGAAATAATTAGAAAATAGAAAACAAGGAGGATTTTTCTCTACTGATTCCTCCATTAAATCTTCAATACAAAGCATATATAATGCAATCTAAACATGAATAATGATATGAATCATAATGAAATCCCTAAGTGGTGAGTTCGATCTTTGAGTGGTAATATTTTCCTTCTACCTTGTTAATCTCTTGGATTCTTTATGGACTTTGGATCAAATAGGTAGCAGCAGCATAACTAATGTTAACCACCATCTACTCTAGAAGTTTAAGCTGTTAGAGAGAGTGTAACTTTAATATTTGAATCCTTCAATATGCCCCCTCACGTGTGGCCTTCTTTTGGTCCAACACGTGTTTCAATTTTAATTATGAGGGTGACGGTGATGTTTGAACATAGGACCTTGCCTGTTGTAATATCACGTTAACTACCATCTACTCTAAAAGCTTAAGCTGTTAGAGAGGGTATTTAAATCATTCAACAATTAACAAAGCTAACTTTTAATATATAAAAATGAACTCAAAAACTGAAAGTATATACTCCATGTACATAATGTACTTTCTATTGACCTAAGATGCATGAGCGTCAGAACGACAAGGGTGTGTTTAAATTATAAACCAAAACAAATTGGTGTTTGGGAGTTGAGATCTAAGGTTATGTAATGGGCTTAAGTCTATTTGCTTACAATCGTGACTTATTTTCTCAAAAAGAAAATAACAAACAAAACCAATTGTTAAAAGCCATTTGATATCCAATATTGCCATAAATAAAGTTAATCAGAGCTTTAGTTCTAATACCATCGGATGTGGCGATCTATTTATCTTTATGTTGGACTCATTTGTTTCTATTTATGTTCATGTTTGAGTCATTTGTTTCCTCACATTGGTTGATTGGTGTCTTTTATATACAACAACAAAGGATTCATGTTCATATTGGTCATGACAAAGTTTTACATTGGTAGGTTCTTTTATATGTATACAAAGGAAAAAAAAAAAAAAGAAAGAAAAAAAAGAAACTTCCCATATAACCGAGGGAAAAATGAAATAGTATAGAACCAGTTAGGATTTATATGTTATCTAGGCAAAGATCGAAGAGGATGTCTATGAATATAGAGCCATATGAAATGAATGAAAATCACCCCCGTAAAAAAAAAAAAAAAAAAAAAAACTATAGTGAGGGTGAACGGCAAAACGATCAAAGTTAAGGTGTTGTCAGTATGAGGGGAAGACTAACAAGAACATACAGGTTGAGGTAGAGGGAAAAGTATCCCCAATGATTTTTTTTTTTTCTTAGTTGGTACTCACACGTCTTTTCTGAGACTCGAACCCCGGACCTTCCTTTGGGAAGTAAGAGGCAGATACTGCTAGGCCACTGGCCCGTTGGTTATCCTCAATGATTTTATTTCTTTTTTGCAACCCCATTAGTTGGAAAAAAGGCTTTGTTATTTTTTTTTCCCTTTCATTTTTCTTATTATTTATGTATTATTATTATTTTTAGGTTTTGGTCAAATGGGAATGATGGACTATACAATGGTTTAGGCCCACTATAATTATGGCGGGATTCGATCCCAAATCTCTGTATGCTATTAAAAGACTTCACCACCTAAGCTAACCGGCACGCTTGTTGAGTCAATTTTTTACAAAAGAAACTATGCATCAACGGAAACCAAACACAATTAATGCTGATTTTCTGCTAGCAAATATCTGCATGCATACAAATTACCAGAAACAGAAATATTTGCATTCATACAAATGTAACTTGATCTGAAAAGCAAGGGGAAAAATTACATTTATAATGTTTAATTGCTGGTTTACCATTTGCAAAGCAGGGAATAATATACAGTCTACTGGACAAGAAAAAGGAAGCCGAAGAACAGTTTGAGATATACCGAAGCCTTGTACCTGAAGAATTTCCAGAGAGAGGATTCCTCGACGATGTTGTATTGGCAGCAAAAAGAGAGTCGAGAGAGAAGCTTGAGAAGGACTTTAAAGCTGAATTCTCATACAAGAAGTAGATCTTCTGCACTTCCTGTTCTTTCACACTAACCGTTGACTTTAATCATGCATTTCCCTCCTCTTAGGATACTTTGTACAGGAGGATTTGTGTGTGTGTGTGTGTGTCAATTGTAAGAGAATTCAGGTGCACCTGCTTGTGCAATTCATGTGTAAGGAATGTGTACGTTCTGGTTGCATGGAATTGATTTTCGGGGATAGAAAATTTTGATAATAGTGCACACCTTTTGAATTCCATAGTTGGATATGGTAATGGTGTTCAGATGGAATTGATTATGGATGATAATTTTCCAGCTGAATGCATGTATCTATAAATGAAGACACAGATTTGGAGGATTTGAATTGATACCTATAACATGGTATTTCTTTGGAGTCTAACAAATTGATAATGCAATTGATAACCAGATGGTTGTAGGTTTATATACGTATTGGCGGGTACTTATTTTGTTAATGGCTTCCCATGGCAAGTTCACGCATGGGTACTGATATGTGACAGTTGATTGAACATTTTACCTTGACACTGATCAGAGTTCAATTGCAAACTAAATAATTAATAAACTTATTAAAAAAAAAGCATAGCAGATTCAAATGGAACTATTTATCTCGTTCAAGAAAGCATGGCTAAGTAAAAGAAAATAAAAAAAAAAAAAAAAGAAAAAAAAAAGAGGAAAATTTAAGAGGCCATTGTGAGTTTAAAATTAGAATTGGAGAAAAGTTGGCTCAAATTCTCGTAGGTGAAATGTTTGTACTAGCCCAAGACTAATAGCATCTAAAACTTTCAATTGGGTGGGACAATTTAGCGTACCCACAATTACTGGGACTACATTGTGTAATGACCTTTATTTATTTATTTATTAAAACGTAGAGTGATAAGAAAGAAATTTCTTTTATACTTTGCTTGTTATATATACATAATGAACTAATAAAACTTTAGAATAGAACTCTAATTTTAAATCTTTTGATTGATTTTATGTTTCGCATGCATGATAACAGTGAGAAGGAACTTAAAAATTATGGCAAAACTTTAGTCATACACACACAACAGAATGATCTGGCCAGAGACGAAGCCAGAAATTATGTTGGGGTACAATGCAATAACAAAATGTGGGGTAATTTTAAAACTTTAAATAATTATATATGCAAAAATGTAATTTTTAAAAGTTGAGAGGGTGCAATTTTAAAATTTTAAAGAAATATACATACAAAAATGCATTTCTCTGGAGGTTGAGGGGAGCAATTTCAAAATTCTAAAGAAATATGCATACAAAAATGCAATTTTTTAAAATTGAGGTGGGGCAATTTTGAAATTTTAAAAAATTATACATACAAAGGTAATTTTTTAAAAGTTGACGGGGGCAAATGCCCCCCTCCCTCTCTGTATTTGGCTAATGTTATGAGTGGGACTTGTCCCACATTAGATTTGGATGGGGGTTGAAGTGTGTATAAATGAATGGGTATGCAGCACTACCCAACAACTTAAGCTTTTGGGTAAATGGACAAGCGTCCACTCGTTATAGTTGGTATCAGAGTTAGATCCAATCCTTAATCTGGTGTCACGCTAAGCGCCCGATTCGGAGGGTGTTCGGGTCTGGTCCCCGGGTAGGCAGGGTGGTCCGACTGCAACGAGGGCGTTGCGCGGGTTCGGGTGGGGAGAATGTTATAAGTAGGACTTGTCCTACATCGGATTTGGATGGGGGTTGAAGTATGTATAAATGGGAGGGTATGCAATAATATCCAACAACTTAAGTTTTTAGGTAAATGGGGAAGCGCCCACCTGTTACAGCTAACTATAATAGTTAAAAAAATAATTTTTTTTTTTTTTTTTTTGGCTTGATAAAGGAGGGGATTAGGTGAATCAAGCTGGGCTCTCAAAAAATAAAAATAAATAACACTTAACCTCAATCAGACCACCCAATCAACCCATACTAATTTAACCTCAATTAGACCACCCAATCAACCCCCTACCACCTCTCGCCGCCCATTGCACCACCACCGACACCTCGCCAAAACCCACCATCAAGACACCTTGCCAAAACCCACCATCGCGACACCTCGATCAAACCACCCAACCCACCACCACTGTCTCTATCTTTCTACCACCAAACCATAAGCTTGACAACGCAAAATACAACACAAATCTGTGTAATCATATATATATATATATATATATATATAACATCAAAATCAACAACTTTACCTCCAACACAGCGTAAGACAGTGAAATTGTTGATCCATTTTTGTCTCCAATCGAAACCCTAAACAATGCGCTCTACATTTCAAATCAAAACCCTAAATAAATTTTAATCAATTACCAGAGACGTCTCCAATTGAAACCCTAACAAATTCTAATCAATTTCCAGAAACGTGGTCTGGAATCCATTATATCCTTTAATCAGAACCCCCATCAATTTTCTTTCGTAAACACATAGTGACACACCTAGATATACACACACATATTAGAGGAGAAGATCATGGAATTTGAGAAAACCACAGCTACACGTCCACAATTGCCGTTGACTCAAATTCCACCACGGTTTCACCAAAGTCGTCTCCTTCAATGACCTTAGCATCGCTGTCTATCAGACGATTAGCTGTCTGTGAACCCATCAGACAATTCGTTGTCAACATTATGATCATCCTCTCTCAAGTCGATTTCTACATCAGCTACCTTTTCTTCATCACCAATACCTTAGCCTACGTTTTCATAAGTGATTAACCTTGAACTTGATGGCAGAGCTTGAAGACCGAGTGCCAGACCTTGAACATGATGGAAGGAGCTCTCTCTCTCTATATATATATATATATGGGATATGAGGTATGAATGTGATTTGGTAATTACGGAGTATAATACATTTCAAAGGTAGTATAGTCATTTTGAGGTGAGATAGTAATGATGTTAGCGTTGACTGTGCGGGAAGTTGACCAGTACCCGTGTTTGTTACAAAGTTTTTAAATTAAGGGAGTAAGCGAAATTATCCAAACTAGAGGGGATGCACACATAATTTAACCAATCTGCAGGGGAGGTAATTGTAAATTACCCATATATATATAATTGGGAGTACTAAAATAACACCAGCTGCAAAAAAAATCAGATGCAGCTGGTTGGGAAAACAAAAAGTTGGAAAATCCAAACTCCTGAGACTAGACCAACCAGTTGGACAATTTTTTAATTGGTTGGGAAATTTTGGAAACTAAAATTTTAAACAATAAAACTTATTCTTCAAAACATTTTTCAACCCAACTCAATGTACAAGTGTTCTAACACATATACTTGATCTAAGTGATGTCTATTATGAGTTACTCTACACGAAATAACTGTGTAAATATATTTTAAAATCACCTAGAGGGAGTGAAGAGGTGTAACTTGCTCCTTTATTCAAATTTTTTTTTTTTTACCCATGATTAACAATTGAATAAAAGTATAAAACAAGTAAACAAAGTAGAGTTTAAGAGTGACACTAGGATTTTAGCATGGAAACCCAATTCGGGAGAAAAGCATGAAGACTTCCATAGTTTCGAGCAAAAAATCCACTATCTCGAAGCAAAGTACAAAGAACTCTAACTCAGGCTCACACCTACTCCACTCTATTAAGAACAAGTTGCTGAAAGCCTTTGGCTTTGCAACTCCTCGTTCAAACACTCTCGACTTCAGGCTTATTCCTTAATCCTTGTAACAAGGTTGCTGGTAGAATAAGAACATGATAAGCGTTGAAAAGTGCGCATTTAAACTCCTTAATTTTGAATGTTCTAGGACCTTATTCTATCTTATTTTCCCGTTTTAGTTTAATTTCATGTTATTTCCCTTTTCAGGCACTTATCCCCAAAATAAGTCAATTTAGCTGAATTAGAGCATTAAAAGAAGCAATCTGAAGTCTAGTGGAAGAAAAGAGCAAAGTGAAAGCAAAGTGGTGAAAAATTCCTCTACGATTGATCGGACCAAGCTATAATTGGTTACACTGTGATCGTTTCAACCCTGCCATGATGGATCGAGCCCTTTGTCCTTATCCTCGGGAAAATTTCCTATTCAATCGATCCAACCTTTTATTCGATCGATTGAACCTTTGATCTTATCCTTACCAACCACTTTTGTCCTTTTCCCAAAAATATCTCAGCCTTGTCCTTATCCAAAAAGTGCACCGCTATACTTCGATCGATCAGAGCAACCATATGATTGATCGAACTGCCTCAAATTGTGTGCAAAACAGATTTCAAGCCAAATTGAAGGTGTGCTCGTGGTGCAATCATTTGGAGGTCATAGTGCATGAGGTCTGACCATTGGGTGTGACATTTAAGCTACCTGTATAAGGAATTTGGCCATTTTTAGTAGGAGGTTGGTTAGTTAAAGAGAGAATTGGCTAGAGATTAGAGAGAGAAACATACATTTTGGGAAAGTTCTTCCACTCATTTAGGTTTTCTACCAAGTACACCAAAGGAGGAGGATGAATTCTACTATGAAGATAGCCATTGAGGGTTGGATAACAACATCAATGAGTGGCTAAACCATTCTCTTGGGGCTAGAGATAGCCCTAAGCATGCCTCCTAGACTTTGATGTTTTGTAATTAATGGGAATTTCTGTTGTAACTATTGTTTTGACCTCTCATATATATAAATCTTGTTTCTACATGATTTGTGTAGTTTAATACTTCTAATTGATCTTTTAATTCTATTCATATGTCTATGGATGTTGGAATGAATGGTCATGTGCTTTACACTTGATTCTTTACATTTGATGCATGTTTATGTATATTACAATGTTTGGTCTAGTGTAAGTCAAGATATGGTGCTTAATGGATTACTCTTGTGGTTTATTTGATGGTTCATACTTATTTCTTGATGGACTGTGCCACCTCCTTAGTTTAATTAGTTTAATTTTCATGTCATTAGCATAGTTGTAGTTTAATTGCTTTAATTTCCTAGATAGGTGGACATTCCATTCTTGTTGTTTGATGATCCATGCTTATGAGTATAAGTAGTATATTTCTCTATATTCTTGAGTGTGCATTGATTATGGACTTATGAAAAAATTAATGGCTTAATTTGATATGTTGTGCTATTCACTTGATTATTAAGACAATGTATGCTTACTAGGCCATCCAAGTTTAATATTTCAATTATGGCACACACTTTGTTTACAAAACATAATCCTCCTAATTTATCAAATGTTGAATGTCTAGGAAGGCAATGCTTAGTGGGGAACTCTATGTCCCAAGAACCCTTTCTCATTCTCTACATCTCATTTGTTTTACTTGCTTTATATTGCATTACTTTAGTTTATATTGTAGTATAATTGAACCAACAAAACCTTCTTTTGATTATTCGACCTACTAATCCAACATTAATTCCGAAATATTGTGCCTTTCCCTTGGGACGATCCCTACTCACTCTTGCTACGTTAGTAGTAGTTAGTAGTGGTAGTGGCATTTTACAAATTCAAACTTGGCCACATTTCATCACACACCTTGCAATTTGGTGCACCCCACGACACACACCAAGTTTTGGCGCCGTTGCCGGGGATTGCGTAACGCAGTATTTTGGAATTAATTAGGAATTAGTACTCTTTTGATCTTATTTTTACTTTATTTTACTTTGTTTACTTATTGTGTTTGTTTTTGATTGGCTAGGTACTTGGAGCCAAGGGAAGTGAAACAAAGGAATTCTAAAGC